CTAAATGCTTTCAAAATGTCTTAGTCTTTACAAGTGAGGGAAGTTGTAACAGGGTTTAAACATTCTTCCAGAAATAAAATTTCCCATTAGTTTTACACACACACATCTATATACATACATACACATGCAAACTTTCCTTCTTTCAAATGTTCTATATAGTCAGAAAGATACATAGGATACATCTGCGGTGTACTGAATCCAGCTACATGCACAACATACGAGTGAGGCTATATTGCTTGCCTGACAAGCAAACCCCTTCTGATAGTTTCTCTTGTGTGTATTTTCTTTTCCTTTCTGTCTTGCATTGTCAACAAATTAACAAATACTTTTTTTTTAACCCTTTCTTAGTCATTAATCTATACCTTAAGACCTTGGCAGATAGCTATTACTTCTAAATAAATATCACTGGGGAACTCATAAATGACACATACTGGAACAAACTGATTATTTCAGTTGAAAGGAATTGCAAATACTGAATGTTACTCATTTAACAAGTAGACAACCAGCAGACACAATTTGTTCTTCTAAAAAAAATATTAGGAAGGCATACTGGAAGGGTAATTTGCTCTTCTCAGACGTACTGATGGACTCTAAATTAACTGTAAGCACTCAGGACTGAGATATAATTGTGCATAGCACTGTGAAAACATCTTTGTAATGCACAACGGCAATCAAAAGGGACTTGTAAGATATTCCATTGCTTAAGATGGGACGCTGACTGACAATAAAAATCAACAATGTTGTTATAAATGGTCTGCTGTTTTACTGCCATGTGAGTACCAAGTTCAGATGCTAGTTGCAATCTTTCAAAACATCACAGAAAACATATCTCAAACAACAAATATCTTTAGGTATATGGAAGAAATCAAAGACTGGGCTTGATTAGTGTAGAAAGATACAAAGATGGCAGAGTGGTGGTTCCCCAATCTTTGTTGGCTTGTGAGCAAGAATACTGAAGATGCAGCATGATTAATATCATACTTTGCTCCCTCTGACAGTCTCACTTTTAACTTTTAATTTCCTGTAACAGTGAGAAACATTAAAACATCTCACAGGCAATGAGTTTGCTGTAAGACATGACTACTTGGACAGAGGAATATAAAATTATTAATGTTATAGGGAAGGTTTATCAGGAAGTATCTGTACAGGATTAGGTAACAGTAAGGATAATATCTATGGATAATAATTATATGTATGGGTAATAATTATATCTGTAATTTACTGATAGTTCCTATTAGGATAAAATATTTATAAAGGATATTTCATGTTTCAAAACAAAAGCCAACCATTATGGAGATGAGGACTTGTCCTGGTTTGAGGTAAAACAGGACCAATTTTCTGTTCAGTAACTTTGCTTCTTAGCTGGGCCTCTTCTAACTACTGAAATTAACAGCATATTCTGCAGATAATGTTCACTCTCTCAGAGTGATAAGACCTATGTTTATAGCTGATGCCAAGGAATGGTATGCAGAGAGGCTCTTGCTTATACTTATTGCTATAACAACCAAGGCCAACCAACTTTGTTACTTGCCCCGTTGAAGGGTTAGAAGTGGAAAAGCGTAGAGGGGTCCCACCTGCAGGGAGGAGCAGACAGGACAGGTGACCCAAAACTGACCAACGAGGGTATTCCATCCCATCTGCCTCATGCTCAGTATAAAAGCTGAGGGATCAAAGGGTCAGCTCTCTCTTTTTTCAATGGCCAACGTCTGAGGAGGACTCTGTTCGTCTGCCTGCGATCCCGATCCTGAATCGAGATACGGAATCCAGTTCCCATCCATCACTGAGTGCAGTCTGGGACTTTCCCAGTGCCAGCCGGTGATGTGATTGTCATCCTGGGAGCTTGATACAGTTTTGTATATATTTCATTATTTTCTTTTTATTTTATTATTAATATTTCATTGAAGTAGTTTAGTTCCTTCTAAACTCATAAGTCTCTTTTTCCCTCCTCTGCCTCTCTCTTTGAAGAGAGGTGAGGGGAAGCATCTGTCAGTCCCATCTAGTGTGCCCCATGTCCCCAGTGGCCAATTCGGCCTAAACCCGGACAGGGCTGAAAAAATTTCCTCATAGGTTTATTATCACATAATTGTCCATTATGGGGGTTCTTCGAACTTCCACTAAGTCACAAAGCAAATGGGTAAAAGAGTGTGTAATGGCTATTAGCTGATGCCTGATTCAGGACTACATGGCTCATCCATTAAAAATCTGAAAATATTTATTAAGTAGTGATTTTGAATCCAATTATGTCAATAGGAGTGGTACATACAGATTTTAATTTTGTGGCCCCTGGGGTGTCTCACTAAAAATGCAAAATTAAATGACAGTTTCACATTTGAGGTACACACAGTGTTCATGCCTTCTACACTGAGCATGTAAAAAAATTGGTTAAGAAAGCTGAGTCAGACTTCATCTACTGGGGAAGGTTACAATATTGTTTGAGGTATGTGTTTTTTTCATAGGACTGCTGTGCCCTCAGTTTGGAGAGGGATTTTGATCAGTTGATCTATATGTCACAAATTCATTGACCTATTCATACCCTTTCTTTAGACTTGATGCCAGATGCTGTTTGCTGTGCACTTGAACTCAGTGCAGCAATGTTTCAGGCACAGAGCAGTAGTACATCCATTGAATATTTCTTGTAACCTGCACCACACATCCATTTTCACCTTTTTGGGCCACAACTTTTAGGAGGAAATTCTGATATGTTGAGAATTTATTTAATGAAGAAAAATCTTGTTCCCTTTGCCTAGTTATTTGCATTTTTACATTTATCATATTTGTAATTCAATATATAGAAATCTTTATTGCTGAATATTAACACATTAATGTGGGACCACAAGATAGACAGATAAATACATACATATACATACATGCATATGAATTTTAAAATCCACATCAGGTAAATAAAGAAGATGCTTTTAATGAAATGTCATTTTTGATTAATAAATAGGATTACAGAATTTGGAATAAAATTCACATATCCATTTACTCTAATAAAGAAACATACTTATAAAAATATTCCAAATTTTCTTAAATACTTTTATATATTATACATAAAAATCTGATATAAATTTAAACAAAAATAATGCATTTTTAAAGTAATGAAAGACATTTTTATGCTCTGAGATTGATTATGACATTTCATTTCCTCTTAGTCTTACACCTTATGGTGGACTCTACTTAATTCATATTGTCAGCATATATGAACAGTTGTAAGAAAGAGCACGTGATTTTCAAAACAGATGACAACAGGTGCTGGACAGGACATCACACATGAAACTAGAATTTGGAGAGTGATGCACCCCTTTACCTACTTAATAGACTTCTATGACCTTCCTGGAAGATTTTGCAACATTCCTAGATAGCTAATTTAATATGGAGGTGATAAAAGGTAGGGCAGGTGTGGGGATTTTGAAATATTTTACAGATCCACAAAAACTGGAACTTAATGTGTCCATCAAATTGTGTGCTATCACTCTGGGGGGTACTAAAGGCTATGTTAAAGACAGGCTTTCTAGTATTGGAATTGAAGGCAAGCTGGTCTGGAGTTGTGAAAAAGGATGGTAGTTAAAAGTTGAATAAAGGTCACAACAACAGAATATAAAATGCAATATATCGATGCCTCGAAATGATAGAATATTAGGTTCTTATAAGCATGGGAAGTATCCTACTGTTTTTATTTGTTGTTTTTATGCCTTTTACTTCTTCTGTATATGACAGAACTATTCAAATACCATTTTCCAGATTACAAGCATAAAAAGTTACTAGTGTCTAGTATACTTTTATCCCCCACATTTTAATTTCCAGCTGAAGGTGGAGAAGAAACTTCTCCCCTTGTGTAGATT